GGGATGGCCATGACACGATCCCTTTTCCTCCATTCTCCTCTCCGGATCTTGGGCACGCATGTACATGCACCCAGCATGAGTTTAAGCCCCCTGGTTCGGGACTCAAACTGTGGTCGACTACATGGGAGTCCAGTGACATAGCCATTATGCCAACTGCTGGTCCCCCTGCTTTCCTTTTTATTGTATCTATAACCTGATTTAGCTATAGTATATTACAAATTCACTATAGGTTCTAATGAAGTGTTGGGCTGAATTTTCTTTCTCTTCTGTATTTTAGGGATTTTGTTTCTATAGTTATGAGTAAAGTAGGCAAGTAAAATTGATATCAGCATTATGTGGGATTTATGGTTTAAACTGTGGAATAAGTGCTTATTTTTCCTTTTGCCTATGAGAATAGACACAGAAACTTATGTAAGGTTCTGTAGGACTTGACTTTTTAAAACAATCAGTGCCTAGTTTTTTGTTTACAGAAATACTTTTTCACCTACTGCTTTAGTTTCATTAATAGTTGTGGAACTGTTAAGGATTTTAATTTCTTCTTGGTAAATGTCATTTTTTTCTCCTTGAAATGTCATTGAGTTGTGATTATTATTATCTCATCTTTTTTATTATTTAAGCTATCTGTGGCTTCCCTTTTTATTCATAATATTGGTTTTACTTCTCTTAAACAGTGGTTGATTTATTTTATTGTATGTCTTAAGAAAGCTAAATAATTTATATTTTTAAATTATTGTAAAGAGCACCAACTTTTCTTCGCAGATCTTTTTAAAAAATTATTATTTTTTTATTTCTTTTTATCACTTTTGTGTTTATTTTTTGTTCAAAGTACATCACCTAATTTCTTAGTGTGACTAGCTCATTAATTTGGAGGCTTTCTTCCTTTTATAAGTATTTAAGGCTATAAAATCCTTCGTACTGCTGTGTTTAATGCATTCTACATGTTTGATATGCACTACTACCATTATCTTTAAAAAAGTGTTAAAATTAAAAAAAAAATTCTTGACAGAGCTCATGTGCACACAAGTGAGAAGGCGAGAGAGAGAGAGAGAGAAAGCGGGAGAGGGAGAGAGAGAGGGAGAGAGAAAGATGACACCTTCTACAGGATCTGGTGACGCCACAGTCCCCTTTCTCTAGTCTTCCAGCCTGTCAGATCTTGGGCATTCATGTGTTTGTCTGGTATGTTTCAGATTGAGCCAGGCTGGGGGATTCGAACTGCAGTTAACACATGGGATCTAGTAGTTTTTCTTGAGCAGCACGTTACCACTTGCACTATGGAGTTGGCCTCATTATCTTTTTGAAATGTGTGTTTATTGACTTCCTGAGCCCCACTCACCATGCAGGAGTGACAAAAAGAAAGAGCTACACACCTGATGGCAGCTCTGATTTTCCTGCTGGTGCCTCTCAATTCTGCAGCTGTGATTTTAAGTTCAGCAGTCCCTCAGCCATGCACCACACATATCATGCTGTGTAACTTGTGCTTCTTCCTTAAGTTATTATGTCTCTCCAGCCCAGCTCCAGGTGCATCTGGACTGGAGAAGCTGGGAGAAGAGCCAACCCCCTGAAGCTGTGTACTTATACTCTTCTCTAATCTAGAAGACATGGCCCTCTACCAGGAACACCCCTGGGAGCTAGGGCTATTATTTCCCCCTTGACACAACAGAATCCACTTAAAGAAAATGGGAAGAAGTGTGTACTTCATCAGATGACCAAAAACCAGTGCAGAGAAATATGAGAAGGCAAGGAAATCTCTCTCCCCCAATGGGGCACAACAGCTCTTTGTTAACCATATACAGCAACAAAGGGTTCACACAAATATCAGAAAAATAATTCAGAACATTAATTATGACAAAACCTAATACAATGCAAGAGAAAATAGGCAGTCAATGCCAGAAGATGAGAAAATCCATGACATGAAGGCAAAATTTCATGAAGAGACAGACACTCTAAAAAAGAGTCAAACAGAACTTCTGGAGATAAAGAATATATTATAAGAAATCAAAATCTCCCTCTAAAGTATTAACAGCAGATTGGGCCATATAACACTTATAGATCAAACCACCCAGAAGAATTAAAAAACAAACAAAAAAATAACATAAGAAAATGAGGATAACATACTGAAAATACTAGACTCCATTAAATGCCCAAATATTTCTATAATGGCGATCCTAGAAGGCAAAGTGGTTGGTAAAGGCATAGAAAATCTCTTTCATGAAATACTATCTAAAAACATTGTAACTCTAGAGAAACATAGACATTCAGATCCAGAAAATACAAAGAACACCAAATAGAATCAACGTAAGATCTTCCTCACAGCACATCATAACCAGATTGGTAAAAATCAGAGATGAAGAAAATATTATAAAAATGGTAAGAGAAAAGTGTCAAGTTATTTACAAAGATTATCCCATCAGGCTAACATCAGACCTCGAGACTGAACAAATGAGGAAAGGAAAGAATGGAAAAAATAGAGTTGAAATGCAAATAAATAAATTAATTAATTAAACCAAGAATACTCTACCTGGCAAGATTATCCTTCAAGTGCAAGGAAGAAGTGAAATTCTCAGATAAATAAAAACAAAGAATTTATAAACACTAGACTAACTCTTCAGGATGTACTGAAGAAAATATTTTATTTGGAAAACAAAAGAACAACAATTAGCAAAAAAAGAATACTAATCAACTAACAAAATGACTAAAAAGCAGCAAGGATAACTCTTTAAATGTTGACAATATTGAATGTTAACAGATTAAATTTTTCAATCAAAAGGCACAGATGGGTTGAATGGATTGAAAAAAAACAAAACAAAACAAAGGATCCTTATCTACTGCTTACAAGAAACACACCTCACTAATAAAGACATACACAGCCTGAAAGTGAAGGGCTGGAAGAAAATATTCCATGCAAGTAGAAACCAAAAAAAGGCTGGGGTTGCTATTCTGATATCAGACAAAATACACTTCAAGACAAAAATTGTAGGAAGAGAAAAAGAAGACACTCTAGTTCTAATAGGACTAATTCACAAGAAGATATAACAGTTATAAATATCTATGCATCTAACACTGCAGGACCCAAGTACTTGTAAAAGAGACTGCAAGATCTAAAGGGAGAGATAGACTGAAACACAATAATCATTAGGAATTTCAAGACCCCATTGTCACCTCTGGATAGATCATCTAGATCAAAAAAGAAATAATGAAACACAGGAACGAAATGATACCATGAACCAAATAGGCTTGACAGACATCTGAGAATGTTTTACCCAACAACCAGAAAATACATATTTTTCTCATCTCCACATGGAATATTTTCAAAGATTGACCACATTACAGGGCACAAAACATGCCTTTACAAATTCAGAAGTATAGAAACTATATCCGTCATCTTTTACAATCTCAGTGGAATTAAATCTGAAATCAACTACAGAAAGAACCTTTGAAAGTACACGGATACCTGGAAGCAAAACAACTTGTTCCTGGATGTCTTCCCAACCAGTGAAGAAATTCGGACTGAAATGAAAAGATTCATTGAAACTAATGGCAATGAACATGTAAGTCTCCATAACCTATGGAAGACAGTGAAAGCAGTCATACAAAGTAAGTTCATAGCAATTCGTGCTCACAAGGGAGAAATAGAGAGATGGAAAATAAACAACGAATGGCACCTCTCAGGAAACTGGAAACACAACCACAAAAAGACTCCAAAAGTACTAGAAGAAAAGACATAATAATGACCAGAGCAGAAATTAATAAAATAGAGAATAAAAGAGTTGTACAGAAAATAAATAAAAATCAAAACTGATTCTTTGAGAGAGTAAACAAAACTGACACACCCTTAGCTAGATTAATCAAGATCAGAGAAAAGAACCAGATAAATCAGTAATGAAACAGGCAAAATTGTAACAGGTATAACATAAATACAAAAGATAATGAGAGAATACCAACCTAGTTGAGATGGAAACATTTCTGGACATATATCATTTACCTACATTGAACCAGGAAGAAATAGAAAGTATTAATAGACCATTAACTAAAGAGATTGAATCAGTGATAGTCTTTCAACAAAGAAAAGCCCAAGTCCCAAAGGCTTCACTTCTGGATTCTACAAAACCTTTAAAGAATCAACTTTAATTCTCCTCAAACGATTGCTAAAATCCAAAAGAAAGGAACCCTCTCAAACTTCTACTACAAAGTCTCCATCACCTTAATCCCCGAAGCAGACAAGAACATAACAAAAACAAAACAAAACAATATCATCGATGAATACGAATGCAAAAAATCTTCAACAAGATATTAGCAAATTATATTCAACCACTTATTAAAAAGATTATACACTAGGAAATAATGGTATGTGACTTCTGAGGTGAAGTTACAAAAGACCACAAAGTTTTTGCCTGTTACTGCTGGAACATTCTGTCTTTGGAAGTTTTATATTAAAATGGTGTTTTATAAATCTTGGCCAAGGAGAGGTTGTGTGTGTAGGTTCCAGAGTTGATGGTCTTAAAATCATTTCAGGCCGGGACCAGATGTGAGTGAGTAAGTTATTCTGTAAATGGGTGCTGCTGTCCCAATTATTAGAACCGCCAGCTGTCCAAGTCACCTCTGGCTGTTTGTCTTTTTCCCTGAGGCCTCCAGCATCTTGGAGAAGATGTTAACCATATCCACAGTGCCCTGAGTTACTGGCTCACAGAATCCGTGAACATAAGAAAATTGTTACTCTATTTTACAAAGTTTTGGGATGGTCTTTAACGCAGAAATGGAAGCTAGGATAGAATTTGATATCAGAAAAAACTACCATCGATGGCTTTGAGATTTGGTAGTGGCTGAAAGTTAGACCTTGAGGAGAAGCTCTTGATGAAGACATAAGAGAGTGACCAAAATGCTATCAGAATCTGGGGGCTAGGAGACGCGTATTTTGTAACAATGAAAGTTCTAGAATATTGCTGTCCATCTCTACCACTAGATATTAGAAATACACACACACACACACACACACACACACACACACACACACACATACATGGAAAGCTAGATCTGGGTAAGGATATTTCTAGGAAGAATGCTTTTTTCCCTCTGCACTTTATGAATAGAGAGAAATGAGCTAAAAAAACAAAAAGGAATTATTTCGTTTTCAAGCAGTATTTAGGGGAACTATAAAAGATCTAAAACTTAGTGTGCTAAAATACTACTATTTATCATTCTCACTTCTTCCCAGGTCAGATAAAATAAGTCCAGGGCACTGTCAGGAAAATGTAGTCTAGGGTAAAAAAGAATTCAAGGGCGAGACTATAAAACCCTTTGTGAGTATCTCAGAAATATTTAAAGGTATTGCTTCATAATTCTTCTCAGGCAAAAGCCATTTTTATGAGTACACCTCAAAAACCCACTTTGTTCAGTCATAGGGCTTCTAGCAGCCTTATATCAGCCCCCATTCTATGAAAAAATTTGTGGTGTGACTTTTATGCAATGAAATGATTTATAAATTGATACATAGGACACTGATGACTTTTTAAGATTATAGGGAGAAATGTCATTGGCTTGGACGGAAAGTGAGAGAGACAGAACACAATAAAAAGAGGCTTGGAACTCTCATGTTTCAATGGGGAAGAAAGAGGCTAAGAAAAATGCTCAGTAAACATACCAACATTTTTATGGACAAGGAAGAGTAATTAAAAGGGAGACTCCAGAGTGTAGGAGTTGGAGTTCACATCAACAGAGAATGACTCCCATAAAATAGGGCAGGACCATAACCCAGGGATTGAAAACATCTGCCACCTAGATTTCAGAATTATTATGATGTAGGCCAGCCTAAGGTTTGGTGGTCAAGGCAGCTGGATCCCACATGGCTGGCTGTGTGGTTCAAGTCCCAGCCCAGCTTGAGAAACATGCTGGGTGCCTGTGCGTGTGTGCCCCAAATCCCTAAAGATAGAGAGATGGAGGAGAAGGGACTGTCCTATGACCATGCCCCATTGGGGAGGGGATGCTTTCTTGCTCTCCTCCTCTTTCTCTGTCTTTCTCTCTCCAGTGAATGCATGAGTCCTCTGGCAAATTAAAACACACACACACACACACACACACACACACACACACACACACAAGAATTACCATATTCTAGGGATAGCCATACCCCTCCCTTGAGCCATTTATACCAAGAATATCCACAATGTTTATCTTGTGCCCATACCGCCAGAATGTTAGATGGTTGGGTGAAAGATGTTTTTCTTTTTCTTTCTTTTTTTTTTTGGATTAAGAGAAAGTATGCCTGATGAGTATATTCAAATCTTGATTTCGGAGATTACACCCTGACTTTGAGTCTGAGACTGCTGCCATCCTGGGATCATCCTTCTGAGTACTCCTGAGAGGGGGTAAGTATGTTTTTCATGTGGAAGGAATGTCAAAATATTGGGGGGCATAAAGGCAGTGAAAATAGTTATGGATGCAGAAGACAGTGTGGAATGGGACAGGAGAAGGGAAAAGTATATAGAGACAAATAGCAAGAGAACAAATTGAGAGGCATGATATTCGTTGGACACAGAAATGGTTTATCACCTGTTGATGGCAACATGTATAGTATTCTCAACTGGACTGGTCTGAGAAGTATTTCATGTGGGGTAAATACTCTTTACAAGTCAAATGATATATAGTGATTGAATGTTTAAAAAATAGTGATAATAATAATCTGAAAAAAAGAGAAAAGCTCTTTGATGATGAGGATGTCAATATTAATGTCTTTGTCTTGACTGATATGCATAGTATTACTGCTGGAAAAAGAAATGTAATACACTGTAAAGATACATGTGACTCAATATAATATAAATAAGATTAGGATAACAAAAAATGAAATTAAATTTAAAAATTCATGGCCAGAAGATAGAATGTGAATGGAAGTTTTGAATTATGCAATGGAATCCTTTGACATTATTCTCTCAATAGGTGGTAACCACAGCCTCTCATCTTGAGCTTTGAAGGTCTTGTGAATTCTAAGGAAAGGGCTTTGCAGGTTCTGACAAGTTCCCTTGGAATAAATGCCAGAGAAGTTAGTTACAAAATAATGGTAACTGGAACACTATGAAAGGGTCATATACACATTTACAATTTCATTTCATACTAGTGGCCAGATGTGCTACTGTAGGTAACAAGGATTATCATAAGCATAATTGATATCACCCATAAATTCTGTAGTTCCACACCATCACTGAAGATGAAGATGATAAAAATATGAAAAGATGACGTTGGTAGATATTTACATGTTGCAATTATACTGGGTACACACACACACACACACACACACACACACACACACACACTTGCACACATTAATTTGCTGAGACTGCCATGAAGATGCCATAGATTGGAGGCTTAAACAGCAGAAGTAACAGTTTCATGGCTGTGGAGGCCAGAAGTCAGAGATCAAGGTGTCTATAGGGTTTTCTTCTTCTGAGGCCTCTCTTCTTGACTTGAGGAAAAGTGTCTTTTTCCTGTGCCTTCATATAGTCTTTTCTCTGAGCTTGTTGTGTCCTAGTGTTCACCTTAGTGACCTTACAGAACCTTAATTACACTTTTAAAGACCTTGTCTCCAAGAACAGTCATATTCTTAGGTACTGGAGGTTAGAGCATCAATATGTGAATTGGGGGGTGGTGTAAACTTATCTCATAACTATGTCTATGGATTTATGTATCTTCTTCCTCCTCCTGTGTATCTATTTTATTTGCCAGAGGGCACATTAATGTGAGAAAGAGAGAGGGAGAGGGAGAGAAAGAGAGAAAGAGAATCTCCCAGTGGTGTGTAGTCACACTACAATCTTTCTCCATCATTTCTTTATCCTCTCAGAATTTTAGGCAGACATGTACACATGCCTGGTGTGTTTTCCAAGCTGTCAGAGCTGGAATTTGACCATGGTCAGCCATGTGGGATCTGGTTCCCTTAACTGCTGAGCTGCAGGACTGGCCATGTGTATGTATTTATTGATATAGAAATAGATAACTATAGATATAGAAATCTGTCTATCTTTCCTTCTACTCATCCACTCATCCCATCCATTCATCCTTCTAATCTAGCCAGGGATGTATCTAGCAATTTAACTTGCTGGTTTTTAGGCATCATTAAAACATTTTGTGCTTGCTTGCTTGCCTGCCTGCCTGCCTGCCTTCTTTCCTTCTTTCCCTCTTTCCTCCTTTTCTTCTTTCTTCTTTCTTCTTTCTTCTTTCTTCTTTCTTTGAAAGATTTTTGCAAGGCCCATGTGCTTGCTAGAGAGAGAGAGAAAAAAAGGGAGAAATCACCCTCAGGGAGTGGGCATGCCAGAACCCCTTCTTCTCCATTCTCCTTTTGGGATTTTGAGCATGCACTTACACACACCTGGCATAAGTTTCAAGCTGCACAGGACTCGAACCATGGTCAGCCATGTCATAATCCAGTGCCTTAACCACTATACCACCTGCTGGCTGGTTCCATGTTCTCTCTTTTTGAATTCTCTGTGACACTTTTTTTTTTTCTCATTCTCTAGGAGTAATTTTAAGTATTCGCAGAGTGTATCATTCTTAAAAGAACATTGTCTATTTAGGACCAGCAGATGGTGTAATGGCTATGTCGCTGAACTCCCATGTAGTCAACCGCGGTTTGAGTCTTGGACCTGGTGGCTTAAACTCACACCAGGCGCATGTGTGTGCATGCCCAAGATCCTGAGAGGAGAATGGAGGAAAAGAGGTTGCAGCATGGCCATCCCCCCTTGGGGGTGATTTCTTGCTTTCTGTCTCTCTGGTGAGCACACGTGCCCTGTAGCAAAAAGCCTCTCAAAAAAAAAAAGGACATTATCTATTTAATGATGTTTCTTCTAATATTAGCTCTTTAAGGAGGGAAGGAAGAAAAACATTCAGCACCCTTTCTATTGGTTACCCCTAGATATTGCCTACTAAAATATCACTTTACCAACAGATTCTGTAAATTAGTTGTGTTTAGATCATAGGGGTATAAGGTTGGGTCACTAAAAGCCCTAATTTATATATCTCAACATTCTGAAATGTTCCAAGTTTAGAGCAGACTTGGCGAAAAGAATCCAGATCCTTCACAGAAAAGGCCTGTGCTGTGTTTTCTATTTAATTGTGAGAGAAGCAGCTCTGAATATTCACAGAAAAAGAATGGAAGGAGATAAAAAAATAAAAGTCCTTAGAAGTATTTCTTTTTCTACCTTGGACCTAATAAAAGAGAAAGAAAAATATTATTCTTTTCTCTGCTAGAAGAAAATGCCTATACACTATAAAAATGATAATACAGAGTGCCAGATATTAAAACTCTTTTTATATTAGTGAGAATGTTTCTGAATCATCTGAAGAAGGGGAATTATTTTGTGGGAGTAAACCAAAGCTCTGCCTGTTTGAGGAATATGTTGTACTCTTGCATGGAACACTGTGAAAAATAATAAACATATTGGTGGTGAAGACTAAAGGAAACCAGCCAGAGAAAATAGAGTCAAGTTGGAATACTTTATGTCCCCAGACCCTAGGACTGCCAGATCAAAGCCAGCAAAGCCAAGCATTCTCACTGGATCCCTGGATATTTTCTTGTAGGCTGTGGGCTGGGTCCTGGTTGCCCACGAGGAATGAATTATATTTTATACATTAATGTGAGTAGCAAGCTTAGAGGACTCTTGATGATATGAGAATTCTTGGGTCTCTTGCTGAGAACTGCTAACTGAGGTCTGCCTGGTTCTCTTGTAGTGCTTTAGAAATCTACTGATATTTTCTTTTCTTCTTTCTACTTTCAAAGTCACACAAATAAACAAATTAATAGGCCTTGCTCGTGGCAGTTTGCTTTCTCATTTTTGTCCTCATGAGTGATGTGCCCTTGAAGTAGCTTAGGTGGTTTATAGGGCAGGGATAAATTTTTTTCAGATAACTACTTTGGAAAAAGCTAAGGCAGTATCCATTAAAACCAGAGAAATGATTCAGCAATTCCACTCTTAGGTATAGGCCCAAGAGAAATGAATGCATGCATCCTTAAAAACCAGGCACAAGAATGTTCATGGCAAACCAGTTGTTAGAGAGTGCATGTACATGTTGCAATATAATCATTTAGAACTACTCTACAACAATAAAAAAAATTAATAAGTGCAACCATATGAACCCTGAAACTTGAAAATCAAGCCAGGTATGTGTGCATACATGCCTAAAATCCCGAGAGGAAAATGGAGGAAAAGGGATAGTGGTATGACCATTCCCTCTGGGGGGATGGGGAGGTGGCTTCTCATTTCAGTGAATGACATACCCTATGGCAAACACCTAAACAAATAAATCCCCCCCCAAAAGATTAATGTGGAGTAAAAGAAGACAGACATAATGCATTCATTATGTATGATAATATTTATATGAAATTCAAGGTTGGGCAAATCTAGGTCATAGTGACAGAAGTCATAGTAATGGTTATTTTGCTGGGGCAGGGGCCGGTATTAAGAGGGAGAGGTTCAGTGGAAGCCTCTGGACAAATAGCAATGTCTCACTGTTGATCTTAGAAGACATTACATGGATGACAATAGTTCAAGTCCTGGACTCAGTGGCCCTAACTTCACAGCAAATAAATAAATGTGTTTTTTTTTTAAAGGAAAGTTTTTATTTATTTGTTTACTTGTTTTGCATATAAAATTGAGCAGTTTTAGAAGATTCAACATCTCGAAATAAGATGGTAACATTGTTGGACCCCTGCATGGCAATCATTTACCAAGATCAGGATGGAAATTGAAGAGGGTGGGGATTAGGATTGAAGAGGTACTTGGAACAACAGTTTGTCATTATGAAGTTGTGCTTTGGCATATCTCTTTTCTCTTTCTTTTCAGATATTATTACTAGAAAAACCTGGTATAAAATCAGAAAATGTGACCATAGTTTTTGTTGCTGTTGTTGTTGTTTGATTTTTTCTTTCTCTCTTTCATGAATGACGGAGAGAGACAGGGAGAGACAGCATCCCCAACAGGGTACTGACACTGTAATCCACCTCCTGCCTTCAGCCAGCCACAGTCATGGTTAAGTACATGCCTATAGCACTCAAGGAGATATCCAGACTTGAACAGGGAACCTTCCATATGAGAATGCCTCACAGAAGTTCATGTTTTACTGTTGTACCACTATCTGGATCTCACCATAATCTTTTGAAGATATTTGATGATTCACGAATATACATGTGTATAAGAAAATCTCTTTTTTAATTATAGGAAAAATTGTAGCCTTGTTTTTGGATAGCAATTTTGAAATAACACAAGGTGTAATAAATTTTCCATATACACTTTTTTGGTAGCTTGATTTTCTGTCTTTTCACCATGATTGCTGAAGTTTACCCACTTAGACATTGGGAAAGAGAGAAGATTGCAGCTGACAG